GAGAGCGTGAAATGGGCCTCATCGGTCATCAAAATTTGCTTCAAAAAATCAGCTTCAGCATCAACCATGCAAGTGACTGTTTGGGCGTATTCCAAGCGAAGTGGACGGTCAGATGGCAATATTTCGTGTGTTCACTGCACCTTATAAGGAAACAAATGCAAATCATCCTTCAAAATGCTCCGCAACGTGGTTCCACTGATGCCAAAATGTGACAATACGACACTTTTGGGTTCTAGGCAACGCTGTCTCTGACCGCTTCAACCAATTCATTGGAACGTCTTGGTCGTTGACGAACGGTATGTTGACGATCTCCCACTGTCCCCAAGAAAATTCGAAACCAAACGACGGATAGTGTTGCCTGTTTGCCACGATATTTTCGACAATGTGCACGTCGCGTTAACACAACTGAACGACGATTTCGGCGCGCTGTTTCGGTGTAAAGCGATTCATGACTAAAATTGTAGTAAATTGACGTTTCAGAAACACGTATAACCAAATCACTCGGTTGGTAAATATCAAAGTCATTCGATGTTTCAATACCGACATAAAAGATGGCGCACCCGGTACATATTCCTGATTAACTTTTTTCTCAGAGGGTCTCAACCTACTTAAGGCCATTTTTCCATAAACAGATTAACCGCACCTGTAATTACGACATTCAGTAACACCCTGTATAACTATCACCTATGGAATGAGCATCACCCAAAGGCTTCAATGCAACTGAATCATGTATCAACGTAAAGTTTTTTCTTGAAATGAATAAATTTCGTGAACTATTTTTATATCAGTTCATCGTCACTTAAATTTTTGCTTATTACAACCTGTTACAAAAATATCTTTTGAGCCGCCCATGTAATTTCAAACGCGCGAACCGAAGGAGTTCCATAAAATATTCTAAAAATACGAAAGTAGATTACGTACTCGCGAATTTGCAAGTTTCGAAAAATTACGGCATTTTATTACTACTATACTACTGCTACTAATTTCCGACACACGCGGTTTTACTTACCACAAAAGTTATTTCTTATCCCAGTAGATGGAACATATTACCAGTCTTAATCTTCAGATTTTAGGGTATAATACTCAAAGATGCACTTACTCGGAAAGCCATTCAATTGATAAGAATGCTCTTGCCCATTTTTTTATCTATTTATAGTTTTTATACAGTTTCTGATTTGTCTCGTTTTATATACAGTTTTTATTATTAACCTTAGACAAAAATTGTGATATTTCATCTTTTAAAGCTTTTTCAATATGATCAGGCTGACCGGCGATAAATTGACCCCTTCTAACTTTTTATATGACCTAGAAGAACAAGTTGTACATAAAAGTTATAGGGTCTAATTTCAGGTAATTTTTTTTGTGTCTCAGGAAAGTACTGTATTTTTTAAATGGAACATCCTGTATATTTTCAATGGAAATGAGTCCAAATAATATTTACCATTTACAATCTATATAAAAAAACTATTTTTGTATGGAGTGTCGAAGCAACAATAGGTTGAAAAATCATTGATTAGTTTGCCTGATAATACAAATATAGTATCAACATCTGTATTTTCTCAAACATAGCTATTTTTGGAGCAAGGTCTTAAAAGCTGCTGTTTTTACCTATAAATACATAATGGTCGTAATCATAATCGATCGGTTAAATTCGGTTCTGCTCTAATTATTCATTAAAGGACGAGATATTTTTGACTCGACTTACTATTCAGGTTTCAGGGCTTGCAGTAAAGACGTCAATAGGACAAATTGATTTTTCCGAATGAGTATTTTAAATATACAAGTAAGAGTCATTTACCACAGATTAACTTGTTATGGAATTATTCATTATTACTTTCCATCCAATACGCGAGGAAATATTATCATCAGCATGAAACATTTCGAACTTGAAATATTACGTGGTTTAGGTATTATATGTCATATACAGGGTGTTTCAGAACTATGGGATCAAACTTGTAGGGGTTATTCAGTGTAACATTTGAGTATAGGGACCCATATCTGGAAAAGTGTCATTACGACACTACGTTAGGCGTGGTTTGAATGATATCTTGTTAATTTACTACACAATTAATAATTTAAAATATACGAAGTGTTCCCTAATAAATAATATATTACTAGAATCATCTTGAGAATAAAAGGCAACAAACTCTTTCACTTTTCAACTGTAAGTTGTTCTTCTATCAATAGAATGATGCATGAGTGTAATAGTTATATACGAAATTGTGATGTGGATCTCCTTTCGACGAATGATTTTAAATTTAAGTAAAACATCCTTATCTCATTTTATTTGTTTGTTAATTTTTATAGTTTTTCCTTGTCGTTATTTTTTAGTTATAAGTTTTTGTGTATTCTCTGTTTCTCTACTAGCCAGTAAGCACTCCTACATGTAACTTCATCCAAATGTGTTTGTAAGAGTTTAAAATAAATAAATACTTTGTTTAAAACTACTTAAAATCACTTGATTCGTATCATTATTGATATCGCATCCTTGACAAATTTACATCACACATCCTTTTAACAGGAAACATGTCCGATATGTTGGTTCTACTCCTAGCGCTGGAAACTGTATTAGAGCGAGTTGGTCTCTTCGGCATCACAAAATTGAATTCAGGTAATAATTGCGGTCAATCAAGTTTATTATTAATAAGAAAGGTAATTGTTTCCTAGGCTGTAAAATCGATCCTCCCGGTCCTCCGGTGCACCGCTTATGCACGTGACGCTGCCGCACACCCTGTAACCGGCGAGACGCCGCCGCCCCAGCGCGGGGTAGACGATCTCGCGTCGGGGGCGGCGAATGTAGGAAGGGGTGAATGTGCCGCCGGTTCGAGCTGGTGCGAACCAGTCGGAGTCTGATCCATCTCTCGCAGTTGCCGCATCCAGGATCGCGTCGTCGCGGTATGCAGGATGAAAATCCCGCACTACCCCACGTTGAATCCAGTTGAGCTTCGATACAAAAGGGTACGTCGACTCCTAACGTCTAGCGCCACAAATTTGAGGAGACTCAACAGTCTAACATTATTATGAAGTGATTTACTTACCACGCCGATTTGCGAAAATCTTAGATCTTATGACAAATACATGGATTTCAGAAAAACGTAAATTACAAAATAACATGAAAAGATCTTATAAAGGTGGATCTTGAAATATTCTCATACCTAATTAAACTCCTGACAATATAGTCTAATGAACATGAAAACCACAGTATAAGTTCCATTAAGTGTTTTGAGGTGTCAAAACTGACATCGAAAAATCTTCGGAGTTTGATAAAATACACCAGTAGAAATGAGAAAGTTTTGACCTCTTCAGAAAAAAATATTTTCTACGCCTCTAAATTTTTTTAAACAACTATTGCATTTTCGAAACCGGTATTCAATTTTACATGAATCACCTTTCTTGAGAAATTTTAGTCGATTACTCCGTTTGTAGAAAAATTATTTTGAATTTGAATCTATATAAGAAACTTGAACCTGTTCTGCTTTGAAACTAGCTCATATTATTGAGGTTAATTAAATTAATCACTAATAAAACAAAATTTATGTCAATAGGGAAACATTTAGGCGACAAAACAAATAGGCTCATGATTACTCATGAAAACATTGAAGTAGTCGAATGATTCAAATATTTGGGTATAATATGTGAATAGTAAACTAGTGTTTCAAAAGCATTGTGAACATTATTTCAAAATTATCAGAGAAGATTAATTACTTCTCTAGAATTTCCCATAATCATAGTATGTATTCCAAAAACATTGTGCATAACATCATATTTTTTTTTATTGTTCAACTATTTTGTTTGCAGAAAATGCAAACACATTTTCAAAATTAAAAATTTTACAAAATAAAGCTATGAGAATGGCATTAATGCTAAATAAATCTTCAACATACAAACAAACATTGAAAATTATATGCAGGAGGATAGTAATCCTATCTCTCCGTAGCGATATTTGAAATCTGAACACTATTCATGTGTTGTCCTTATTCAGTCTCATCAATGGCGCAGAAATTTACAGCAGCCTATATCTTGGTAATGAGACATTTTAAGACCTATGGACATCTTCTGGTACATGGGTTACCTATAAAATCCCTGTATACGTGTTGTACACAATAAAGTTATGTTAATTAAATAGGATTTTTCATAATTGTCAACCATACATTAACCTTTGCAAATATTTGCATTATACGTAACAATGACCTCCGTGTTCATACCCAAGTCGAGCAAATTCGCAACCAGCTGACTTTGTTTGTTAAACTGCATAATGGAGAGATTATTTGTTATTGTTCATTCTCGCATAGTAGATAGTATGCGGAGTATTCAAAGTTTGCTGAAAGTTTTTTATCGTCTTATCTCAAGTTCATGGATCACTGAAGATACGGCAATAGATAAGAAAATGATGATCGTGGTAGGTCAAATATTTTCAGTAGTGTAAGTTGGAATATATGTATATACATGATAATTAAATGTCGTTTTATTATGAATGACTGTGAAACTTCACTGTATACAGGGTGTTTGAAAAATAGACGGAGATATCGTAGAGGGTGATTCCTTGTTAAAAAATATGACAAAAGATTCTATAAACATGGGTCCGGAAATGCAGTTTTTAAGATACAGGATAATACATTTAAGAAGAAATATAAGTTTTTCATTAATATCTTAAAAAATATATAGTTGATTCTGTTGAAACTTGGCAACATTATTGATTGTATTAAGAGGCTAATTTATCCCTAAATAGACTTGAATTATTAGGTCCAGTGGCGTCCCGGGAGACCTCTTAGCGAATATTATTGGCAAAAAAATAGCCGCAACTGTATTTTTTTAACGTTAATATTTGTTGTTTGATTAAGCATCTAAAGATACAACTTCTTTGGCTCTTGTATTTTTTCGTATCTCACTTGAGTCCTTGTTCTTCTAAGTTGAAAAACCACCTCAAGGGAACTCATTTTGGGACGGTCGGAAACATTCAAACAGCTGAAGGCTATAACTAAATAATATAATTAACTTACGTGTGATATTGACGATTTCCACACCAATGATCGGACTGAGGTAGTTTTTCGGGTTTTTGTAGGGATAATAATACGACGCGAATCCCCTGGGATGGTAGTTGAATCCTCTGATGTTCTCCTTGTCAAAATCGTTTATGCCATTGCAAGTCACCCATATTTGCTTCTTCTCCTCACCTTGTCTTGTCTACATAAATGAAAGAAAAAGGTTGGATATTTGAAGAATTTTTGTGCTCCTACCGACTAACGTAACACACAGCTTGAAACAAATATTATATAATGTTTTGCAGCAATCAAAGAACAAAGGCAACTTAAAAAATAATAAACAAGTACAAATCAAATATTATTTTCATTTCTCTACCGGAAAAAACGATTAATAGTACCTTATACATACTTTTATGTGTTGCTTCAAACCATCAGGCATGTCTTCCAAGGGAGTTGTATAAAAATCAGGTTTCCATCCATATATCTGCGGAAGAAAGGACACATTATAAAACCTACAGGAAAGAAATTAAAGAAGTTATGTGTAGATTATAAAACGTCTACGTGTTCAAAAGGTAACTGCAAAAAATCTATTCTGACTATTTTCTTTGTTTTGAAATTATGTGGTTTTCTCAAATACACATTCAGTATTAAACTCACCCTATTTAGCTTGAGAAATACGCATGGGGACGAGGAATTGAATCCGTATTTCTTGCTTGGATGGCAGTTTCCCAATTGGTTCACTGAGGTGATGCAGACCTGGTTTGGACCAGGCGGCTTGTCAAAGTTGCAGTTTACGAAATTTTCCCCTGTCTGTGGTTCTTTGTATGCTACAAGAAAATATATCATTGTTATTTTGTAGTTGTTCGCTATTTCTAAAAAAGTTGCAACATTTTGGTATGCCAAAACGTCTATTATAGTTCATTTCAAAATCTCGTTATACTAACAATTATTGTCAAGTTTGGATTATTAGAATTTGTAATAATCTCCTTAGGGGCGTATGGTCAGCCGTTCCTACAACTGTAGGACGCCTTTATGGCCTCCTTGATTTTAATAGTCTTTTCTCTCGTTCCGAAAGGCTAGGATATTTCTAAATGTCTACTGTTCCGTGTCAGCGTCGGCGCTCTCCTATTGTGAGGTTATGTTTTCTTTTTGAATCTTAAGAAATTTCAGGCTGATAAAACAGATGATAAAAATCAAGTTTTATCAGCCTGAAATTTCTTTGAATTCAAAAAGAAAATATAACCTCAAAATAGAGCACTGCCACGAAACAGTAGAAATTTAGAAATAGCCCTCCCTGCCTTTCTGATTGTAGGACGCAGGACGCCTTTATTGCCTCCTTGATTTTCATAGTATTTTCTCTCCTCCAGAAAGGCTGGGATATTTCTAGATTTCCACTGTTCCGTTTCAGCATCAGCGCTCTTCTATTGTCGGGCTATGTTTTTTCTTGAATTGTAGGAAATTTTAGGCTGATATAACAGATGATATAAATCAAAAGAATGAACAATTTGATGCAAATAGAAATTTGTAACCTAACCTCAAAATAAAGCGCTGACTCGGAACAATAGAAAACTATGAAAATCAAGGAGGCCATAAAGGCGTCCTACAATTGTAGGAACGACTGACAATACGGCCCTTAGTAAAACAAATTTGACTCATTACTCACGTTATAATTCATATCGATTGTTTTATTAGGTCAATGTTTGATATCCTAACATTCTAAATTACATGTAAGCGTTCATACATATTTACATAAATGGAACCCTAATAAATCAATCATTCACGATCCTTTGTATTTAATAAGTACGAGGTACACGCTAAAACAGACCACAACTGATCTAAGATGATGCTTGTTATGAATAAAACGTTGGAAACGTTGGCTATCATATTTTTCAACAGTGATTGTTGACAAAATTGGGCACATTTGAAACATTACATTACATGAACTAAAAAATATATAAATATGTAGTATGGAATTTTTAGTTTTTAATTACGGAGACTTAATCCCCCTACAAACAATTTTTTGCGTCTGCATTTTCTTTGTTGATGTTGAATTCTATGATTTCCATCTTGTCAAATTTACACTGACCTTTCTGAATTACCTTATTGCGACAGTATCAAACAATTCAAGTTCAAGTGAAAATATTGGATTATATAAATCACACGCGACCTTAGTTGTTCGAGTCAATTGAATTAGCGAACTCAAACCGGTTAAACCATCAACGTAATGGGTGTCATATGAACACCACGTCCCATCGTCACTCATTAACTACTCGTAGGAAATTACAGTGGACATCTTTATTGCTGCCTGTTAAACCGATTGTGATTTTAGTCAGGAAGCTGTTTGCGGTATAAAATCAATGCGCCTTACTCATCATAATCACAGCTCTTATTCCATGACATTTTTCTGGTTGTGAAAAAGACAGTTAGTTAAAATAGGTCTAACAATTCGAATTACTCAAGCGTAAATAATTTGTTACACAACACTGCAATAGGCCTATATAAATAAGAGAGCACACAGTGCCATCTGTTACCAGAATCGACCAAGCTGACTGTTGGAACTGTATCCCAGTTCGCATTGTCAGCCGGGTGACGACCGGCACGGTTATCACGTATCTTGAAAAGTGACATTATGCCGATTTTTTTGACAATATGTAGGTTTTTATACAAGATGCTAACTTAGCACTTAGTTGTACGTGTTGCCTAAACGTCATGGGGCTTGTTATCAATCTTTGGCTCTGATGTAATGTAAAATCTGCTTCTGAGAAGGCATTACTGGAGGTCTCAGCTGTAAGTTGTATGTGTTGATGATAATTACATTGGGTTCTTGTCTCAAATACACTTAATTGAGATTCAAAGCTAGAAATTAGTTGCGCATCCACTTTTTCTTATCCATTCTGGAAATTACATATACAAATTTGCTGAATTTCAAAAATAAGAGAGATAAGAAATAATTATATTCATGTACACTGTCGAATTACAAGCCATATACATGCTTGCTAACAGTAATTACACACAACTCGGGCGCTGTGATGATTTCCCGTAATTCTGCTCAGTTTTTCGTGATTTATAACTTTGAACATAACCTCTCTTCAGAAAGCACAACATATAAATAACCCGTCATATTCGGCATATTCAGTAATGATTTTCTCACACAGCAAATAACACTGATTTTATACACATGCAGACCAATACACATAATGATCCAGATGCGATCTTGGTATTCAACCAACTTTCTTCTCAGAGATAAAAACTACAGACACGGATCACTCAGCCTCACAAAACTATGCAACCAATAATGCGTGTAGTTTAGTTGAGTGATTCCTCCATAGATGGACGTTCACAACGATCCTAGTGAGAAAACGTGGAATGACTGCGCCCTAAAAACTACCTATAGTCGAAATCACGAAAGATGACGATTACGTCATCATTTTAGTCCGTAGTAATGACAAACGACAGCGATTTGTGAATATTTTTAATGAAGTTTCAAATATGTTAGACAGAGACAAACAGATTTTTATTGTCTAAACAAACTGTATTGATAAGATAGACGATGTTTTCATGTTGCATGATCGATCATATTTGAAAGATGAATAGTTAGGTTATCTTAAAGCAGGTTAGGTTGTTTTCGAATAATACTTTGGTCTTTGGTGTTAATGTCTTAAGGTGTATTCTACTCATAACTGTTCCTTCAAAACAAAAACTCCCCACTAAAATTATTATTAAAAAAACCATGAAATAAAATGATAAGATAAAAATAATCAGTGAAATAAACTAACTTCGCAAAATCATAATATAAATTCATGACATCGTGATTTTATCATCGACGTATGTCCATTGATTACTTCAGTACAATTTATGGTATGACGTAATAATCATCTTTCGTGATTTTGACTATAGTCTGCAAGTTCACATCTTATAGGTTTTTTTGACGTTTTATTGGTTTTTTACATAATACCCGTGCCGACCACGTTTACGAAAAACTCTAAAGGTTTCGAAAAGGGTCAAAACTAACCCTTCCCCCTACATGGATTATAAAAGAATTTTTTGGTATCTCTCCCCCTTTTATTTTAAAGATCCTTTTATTTACTTCATTTTTTGTCTCTTAAAAAAACACGCCGTCTCGCATTATTTTCGGGGAAAAATGTGTTTCGGTGCTGGTACAGGCAGAGATCGGCTTCACACGCTTAATTCCTGTATGTGGACTGCTGTAATTAGCAAAGCTGTGAATCGGATTGTTCGTACAGGAAAGAAGGTCGTTGAAATGTGATAGAAATAATGTTGGTACCAAGAGAGATATTGTGGGATGGAAGGCAAAACGTCAATTACGACGGATATCTTACGGCAAGAAAGGAAAACTTCCCTGAGAGGCCATTGTTTCCGAATCCAAATCTTTAATTTCTTGCAGAAACTAATAAAGTAAATTCAACGTACGTAGATCTCAGACGTTACGCATTTCTCTGAAGCCCCTACAATTCGTAACAATATCAAGAACTGAAATGCGAATCTGCCTATAATTTGATCGGTCTTCCTAAGCTTCTTATCGCTTGCTCATTGGGCCTGGTATATAGCATCATCCCCTTCTCGCGCTCCTAGTTGTCAACCCAACCCAAACGACGCTGATCGATTAAGTATTTTAATTCCTAATGGTAGTATTGATGGCACCGTCGTATAATTATACAGGTTTCGATTTCATTATTACGACATCGTTTTTCGTGTTTGCTAACAGCAAGCGGTGTTAATGACCAAGCCCATTGTATTCTTAGAACAGCCTCCAAACGCGCTGGTTTTTATTTGGATACAATTTAATATCAAATTATTACATATGTAAATAATTATATTCGGCTAGTCAAGCAGAGCATGTCCGTGAAGGATACGGATAATAATTCCAAAACAGTTTTTTTTTCAGTTCAAGGTTGTGTTCTATCGGAAAATAGTAGCTGTATACTCATGAAAAGTATTAAAAGCTTTGCCCAAATAGAGTTCACTGGAGTTTACGAGATTTTGAATTGCTTGGGACTCATTCACCGAGTTTGGTGTTATAATAGCATATAAGCAGGTTAGCTTATTCTTATGATTAACCGCAGATAATGTGATAAATAAATGTAAATCATTTTTGTTGCTATAATCGTTTTTGTTTTGTAGGCTAAGTACTTATCGGACCGCTCTCGTATAATAGATGTTTAATATTTTTCGCGTTCGTATGATCATCTCTACTGTTCGGTTTAGCAAAGAAACTTCTGTTCAGCCAGCAGTATTTTTTTCCAGGGTAGCAAATCTTCCCAAGGTGTCCAAAACCTAACAAACTTCAAAATTGTACACAAAATCATACTACGAGTACATATCTAAATTTAGTCCCAACCGGACTCCCAAGGGGAGCAACTGCATCCCCTCCCTCGCCCCCTTGCGGGCGCCATTGATTCTGACACATGTACAGGGAGGGACAAAGTTGTTCAGGATGATCCTGCCCTGTCCGTGTGGGAATACGATTAAAAAATGTTCAGGATTATACAGCATGTACCACTCACTACTAAGCTAAATATCAAAGTTGTTTTTTATAGATATTTATATTTTGGGCATAATTTTGCGTGTTGATGAATTTTTTATATACAATGTGTTTGGTCACGACATACCGATATTTAAGGGGGGTATTTTTCAGCTATTTTTATCGACAAATCCACGCCCTATAATGTCCACCTCACCCTCCTTGAAATGACAGTCATTTTTAATTTTACGTTACGATTACGCTAGTTCGTGTATGAAAATTATAATAACTGAGAACACAGAATGATAAATTTGGTGTCATTTGAACGATAACATATTCGCCCCCTCTCCGGTGCTCCCCACCCGTCGGAACGTTGACTTTTTAAGTGAGTAAATACATTTTTGTTCTTCTGCAATATCAGTGGTTCATACTCGTAATAAATGAAGTCATTAAATTCCAAAATATTGTTTATATATTATAATATACCTGTATGTGTAAATTAGTGTAACACAGGGCATTTTCACACCCTCCCTACTTATGTAAGGCTGTGTGCTAACGGTCATTTGATCGAGGATTTGTCCTTTTTGCCAAAAATATTAAGTGTGTGTATTTTCTATAATACGGTAAATATACTAAGTGACATATAAATCCGAAAACCCAGTTTAAATGGTTTTATTTTGATAAAATTTTGTATAAGTACTTAATGAAGAATAATAAGTAAATGATAAAAATTTCAAAATGATTGCACTGCTTTAAAGCCCTTTGACCTTTAATAATGTGTGGATGCACCCTGATGTGCTACGCATTCTCCAACGCGCCTAGGCATGCTTCTGATCAGGTGGTCAATGTCCTCCTGTGGTATCTCATTCCAGGCAACCACCAACTCCTCTCGAAGTGCTTCTAGAGTCTGAGGAGGACGTTGCAAATTGAGCAATCTCCTACCCATCATATCCCACACGTGCTCAATTGGGGATAAGTCGGGAGATCTTGGTGGCCATGGCAACAATGTGACATCATTATGTTGAAAGAAGTCTATTGTGACTCTTGCAACATGTGGTCGGGCATTATCTTGTTGGAAAGTTGGATCTGCCAGGGTGTCAAGATAGGGCAAAAGATGGGGTTCTAGAACTTCGTGGATATAACGCTGCGCGTTCATGTTACCTCTGATGAAGATTAAAGGTGACCTGGAACCATAAGCTATAGCACCCCAAACCATAACTCCAACAGTGTGATGAGCATGTCTTTCAACAAAAAACTGTGGATTCCTCCTTTCACCACGTCGCCTTCTAACCCTGGCACGACCAGCGTGCATGCCTAAACAAAATCGAGACTTGTCACTAAAGACAATACTGTTCCATTCCTGATTCCAGAGTGACCGTTGTCTGCACCACTCAAGACGATTACGTCGGTGTTCTCGAGTTAAAGGGAGGACCCAGTGTGGCCGGTATGAAAACAAGCCAAAACTTCTCATTCGTCGGTAAACACTTCGCATGCCAATAGGTCTTCCGTGTTCTGCAAACCATTCATTTGCCATGCCTGACAACACCTAACCACAGTGTCTACACTTCTTTGCACTCTAACTGCAATTGCCCGAAAAGAAAGTCCAGCTTCCCGAAGTTCCACTATACGGCCCCTATCAAGTTGACGAAATCGCACAGGTCTCCGTACTCTAGGCATCGTAACCGATCGTGAAGGATGTCAAGAACCAACATCCGCCAACGTTGATTCTTTACTGCGGCTGAAATATTCATTTTTAGAGCGTTAGTGAATTAAAAAAAGCAGTATAAAAACCGGAATGTCCAACTGATAAGGCTGAAAATTTTTTCACTTGTTATTTACAGTAAGATAAATACATTCACCAACTTTTTTTAAAATAAAACCATTTAAACTGGGCGTTCGGATTTATATGTCACTTAGTATATAATGTTTTTTTTGTTTTTGTTTTTTAGCATTCATTACTTAACGTAGAAGACTGGTTAACAAATTGGGTGTCATTTTGTAGATAACATAGTTAGCTGTAGAATTAGCACAAAAAAGTACAACTTCAGAAACTAGTTTTTGAATGGTGTGCGGAAATGCACAAAATAATCAATTTTCTTGCATATTTTTTTCCTGTTTTGTCTGCTTTTAAGTATGTTTAACGGTTAGTATCAATACAAGTTTTTCAGTAATCGCTATAACAACATGTTAACGTTCAAACGACACCAAATTTATAGTTCTGTGACACTTACGTACTCAGTTATTACAATTTTCATCCTGCACTAGCGTAACCGTAACCTAAAAATAAAAATTGATGCCATTGCAAGAGGGGTGAGGTAGGACATTGTAGGGGGGTGGATTTGTAGATAAAAATAGCTGAAAAATACAGCCCTTAAATATAAATATGTCGTGACCAAACACATTGTATATTGTCTAAAAAAGCATGAAATTATACTTACTTATTCATCGAATTGTTCGAGTCATTAGTTATCAAAAACATGTAACTCATGGTTCCCTAAAAGATTCAAATAGGACATTCAAGATATTTTCACATTTTCAAATTCTACTATTTGCAAGTTGTTTTTAGATACCTAGTCGAGTTTGTGGTAATCCGTTTGAAAATACCACTTTTCCACTATATCTATTAAAGTCGTCAATATACGGGTTAACGTTCTTTTATGTTTATTAGACAAAGCGCATATCTCAAAGCTCGACAAAATGCAAAGTATGCAGATCTATCCAGACATACGAAGAAAAATATGAATATCTGTAAAAAACAATTTTGATATCCAACTCATTAGTCCCACTTTCTTAAATGTATTCTCACAGGCACGATATAGAATACAATTGTTTTTTTTTTCTTTTTGAATTCATTCACTAAAATTGTATAAACATTGTGAATAATTATTAATTATATAATTATTACTATCCTGAATGAACATTTTTTTAAAAAGTTTGTCTAGGGTCCATCCATACAAGTTTGTGCCACCCTGTATGTGTGACAGAAATGCATGTTAATGTTAATGGCTAGAGGTAGGATAATAAGAATGTAAATGAATATCAAATAACTACTAACTACAACATATTGCCATGGACACTTTTGTCCTACGTATCGAGACCTTAATACCAGTAATACCACTTTGTGACTAGACAATTACATCTAATTTTTTTTTAATTATTTCTCCAGATTTTGACCCCCTACGCTCTATACTAATTGGCGAGGAAGTATTGCAATATCGAAAGGTTTCGAATTCGTAATACGAGAAAGTTTTTTGAAAGTTACATGGCATGTTTAGATATCACAAAAGGCTATGTCACTTATTTCCGTCTGTCTGTCATCTGTCGGGTGACCCCTTTATCCCCTTTATAGCTTAAAAAGCACTACTCAGATTTTGATGGACTTTTGATTCAAATGCTACAAAGCTTCGTTTTATGATAACTTTTTAGTGTAGTTGAAGGATCTTTCAAAAAATACCAAACTTTCTCGTCATTTTTCAAAATATTCTGGTCAGTTCTGTGGCCAAAACAATTTTTATTGAAGGTTGAAATCAGGAACTTCCCATATTTTCAGTTTCATCATAGACGTGTACCTAAAGTTTTATCTAGATCTAGATGAACAAAGAGAACTTACGCTTCAAGAATTCATCTGCCAACTTGACCCATTTAAATCTTTAATTTCTTGCAGAAACTAATAAAGTAAATTCAACGTACGTAGATCTCAGACGTTACGCATTTCTCTGAAGCCCCTACAATTCGTAACAATATCAAGAACTGAAATGCGAATCTGCCTATAATTTGATCGGTCTTCCTAAGCTTCTTATCGCTTGCTCATTGGGCCTGGTATATAGCATCATCCCCTTCTCGCGCTCCTAGTTGTCAACCCAACCCAAACGACGCTGATCGATTAAGTATTTTAATTCCTAATGGTAGTATTGATGGCACCGTCGTATAATTATACAGGTTTCGATTTCATTATTACGACATCGTTTTTCGTGTTTGCTAACAGCAAGCGGTGTTAATGACCAAGCCCATTGTATTCTTAGAACAGCCTCCAAACGCGCTGGTTTTTATTTGGATACAATTTAATATCAAATTATTACATATGTAAATAATTATATTCGGCTAGTCAAGCAGAGCATGTCCGTGAAGGATACGGATAATAATTCCAAAACAGTTTTTTTTTCAGTTCAAGGTTGTGTTCTATCGGAAAATAGTAGCTGTATACTCATGAAAAGTATTAAAAGCTTTGCCCAAATAGAGTTCACTGGAGTTTACGAGATTTTGAATTGCTTGGGACTCATTCACCGAGTTTGGTGTTATAATAGCATATAAGCAGGTTAGCTTATTCTTATGATTAACCGCAGATAATGTGATAAATAAATGTAAATCATTTTTGTTGCTATAATCGTTTTTGTTTTGTAGGCTAAGTACTTATCGGACCGCTCTCGTATAATAGATGTTTAATATTTTTCGCGTTCGTATGATCATCTCTACTGTTCGGTTTAGCAAAGAAACTTCTGTTCAGCCAGCAGTATTTTTTTCCAGGGTAGCAAATCTTCCCAAGGTGTCCAAAACCTAACAAACTTCAAAATTGTACACAAAATCATACTACGAGTACATATCTAAATTTAGTCCCAACCGGACTCCCAAGGGGAGCAACTGCATCCCCTCCCTCGCCCCCTTGCGGGCGCCATTGATTCTGACACATGTACAGGGAGGGACAAAGTTGTTCAGGATGATCCTGCCCTGTCCGTGTGGGAATACGATTAAAAAATGTTCAGGATTATACAGCATGTACCACTCACTACTAAGCTAAATATCAAAGTTGTTTTTTATAGATATTTATATTTTGGGCATAATTTTGCGTGTTGATGAATTTTTTATATACAATGTGTTTGGTCACGACATACCGATATTTAAGGGGGGTATTTTTCAGCTATTTTTATCGACAAATCCACGCCCTATAATGTCCACCTCACCCTCCTTGAAATGACAGTCATTTTTAATTTTACGTTACGATTACGCTAGTTCGTGTATGAAAATTATAATAACTGAGAACACAGAATGATAAATTTGGTGTCATTTGAACGATAACATATTCGCCCCCTCTCCGGTGCTCCCCACCCGTCGGAACGTTGACTTTTTAAGTGAGTAAATACATTTTTGTTCTTCTGCAATATCAGTGGTTCATACTCGTAATAAATGAAGTCATTAAATTCCAAAATATTGTTTATATATTATAATATACCTGTATGTGTAAATTAGTGTAACACAGGGCATTTTCACACCCTCCCTACTTATGTAAGGCTGTGTGCTAACGGTCATTTGATCGAGGATTTGTCCTTTTTGCCAAAAATATTAAGTGTGTGTATTTTCTATAATACGGTAAATATACTAAGTGACATATAAATCCGAAAACCCAGTTTAAATGGTTTTATTTTGATAAAATTTTGTATAAGTACTTAATGAAGAATAATAAGTAAATGATAAAAATTTCAAAATGATTGCACTGCTTTAAAGCCCTTTGACCTTTAATAATGTGTGGATGCACCCTGATGTGCTACGCATTCTCCAACGCGCCTAGGCATGCTTCTGATCAGGTGGTCAATGTCCTCCTGTGGTATCTCATTCCAGGCAACCACCAACTCCTCTCGAAGTGCTTCTAGAGTCTGAGGAGGACGTTGCAAATTGAGCAATCTCCTACCCATCATATCCCACACGTGCTCAATTGGGGATAAGTCGGGAGATCTTGGTGGCCATGGCAACAATGTGACATCATTATGTTGAAAGAAGTCTATTGTGACTCTTGCAACATGTGGTCGGGCATTATCTTGTTGGAAAGTTGGATCTGCCAGGGTGTCAAGATAGGGCAAAAGATGGGGTTCTAGAACTTCGTGGATATAACGCTGCGCGTTCATGTTACCTCTGATGAAGATTAAAGGTGACCTGGAACCATAAGCTATAGCACCCCAAACCATAACTCCAACAGTGTGATGAGCATGTCTTTCAACAAAAAACTGTGGATTCCTCCTTTCACCACGTCGCCTTCTAACCCTGGCACGACCAGCGTGCATGCCTAAACAAAATCGAGACTTGTCACTAAAGACAATACTGTTCCATTCCTGATTCCAGAGTGACCGTTGTCTGCACCACTCAAGACGATTACGTCGGTGTTCTCGAGTTAAAGGGAGGACCCAGTGTGGCCGGTATGAAAACAAGCCAAAACTTCTCATTCGTCGGTAAACACTTCGCATGCCAATAGGTCTTCCGTGTTCTGCAAACCATTCATTTGCCATGCCTGACAACACCTAACCACAGTGTCTACACTTCTTTGCACTCTAACTGCAATTGCCCGAAAAGAAAGTCCAGCTTCCCGAAGTTCCACTATACGGCCCCTATCAAGTTGACGAAATCGCACAGGTCTCCGTACTCTAGGCATCGTAACCGATCGTGAAGGATGTCAAGAACCAACATCCGCCAACGTTGATTCTTTACTGCGGCTGAAATATTCATTTTTAGAGCGTTAGTGAATTAAAAAAAAGCAGTATAAAAACCGGAATGTCCAACTGATAAGGCTGAAAATTTTTTCACTTGTTATTTACAGTAAGATAAATACATTCACCAACTTTTTTTAAAATAAAACCATTTAAACTGGGCGTTCGGATTTATATGTCACTTAGTATATAATGTTTTTTTTGTTTTTGTTTTTTAGCATTCATTACTTAACGTAGAAGACTGGTTAACAAATTGGGTGTCATTTTGTAGATAACATAGTTAGCTGTAGAATTAGCACAAAAAAGTACAACTTCAGAAACTAGTTTTTGAATGGTGTGCGGAAATGCACAAAATAATCAATTTTCTTGCATATTTTTTTCCTGTTTTGTCTGCTTTTAAGTATGTTTAACGGTTAGTATCAATACAAGTTTTTCAGTAATCGCTATAACAACATGCTAACGTTCAAACGACACCAAATTTATAGTTCTGTGACACTTACGTACTCAGTTATTACAATTTTCATCCTGCACTAGCGTAACCGTAACCTAAAAATAAAAATTGATGCCATTGCAAGAGGGGTGAGGTAGGACATTGTAGGGGGGTGGATTTGTAGATAAAAATAGCTGAAAAATACAGCCCTTAAATATAAATATGTCGTGACCAAACACATTGTATATTGTCTAAAAAAGCATGAAATTATACTTACTTATTCATCGAATTGTTCGAGTCATTAGTTATCAAAAACATGTAACTCATGGTTCCCTAAAAGATTCAAATAGGACATTCAAGATATTTTCACATTTTCAAATTCTACTATTTGCAAGTTGTTTTTAGATACCTAGTCGAGTTTGTGGTAATCCGTTTGAAAATACCACTTTTCCACTATATCTATTAAAGTCGTCAATATACGGGTTAACGTTCTTTTATGTTTATTAGACAAAGCGCATATCTCAAAGCTCGACAAAATGCAAAGTATGCAGATCTATCCAGACATACGAAGAAAAATATGAATATCTGTAAAAAACAATTTTGATATCCAACTCATTAGTCCCACTTTCTTAAATGTATTCTCACAGGCACGATATAGAATACAATTGTTTTTTTTTCTTTTTGAATTCATTCACTAAAATTGTATAAACATTGTGAATAATTATTAATTATATAATTATTACTATCCTGAATGAACATTTTTTTAAAAAGTTTGTCTAGGGTCCATCCATACAAGTTTGTGCCACCCTGTATGTGTGACAGAAATGCATGTTAATGTTAATGGCTAGAGGTAGGATAATAAGAATGTAAATGAATATCAAATAACTACTAACTACAACATATTGCCATGGACACTTTTGTCCTACGTATCGAGACCTTAATACCAGTAATACCACTTTGTGACTAGACAATTACATCTAATTTTTTTTTAATTATTTCTCCAGATTTTGACCCCCTACGCTCTATACTAATTGGCGAGGAAGTATTGCAATATCGAAAGGTTTCGAATTCGTAATACGAGAAAGTTTTTTGAAAGTTACATGGCATGTTTAGATATCACAAAAGGCTATGTCACTTATTTCCGTCTGTCTGTCATCTGTCGGGTGACCCCTTTATCCCCTTTATAGCTTAAAAAGCACTACTCAGATTTTGATGGACTTTTGATTCAAATGCTACAAAGCTTCGTTTTATGATAACTTTTTAGTGTAGTTGAAGGATCTTTCAAAAAATACCAAACTTTCTCGTCATTTTTCAAAATATTCTGGTCAGTTCTGTGGCCAAAACAATTTTTATTGAAGGTTGAAATCAGGAACTTCCCATATTTTCAGTTTCATCATAGACGTGTACCTAAAGTTTTATCTAGATCTAGATGAACAAAGAGAACTTACGCTTCAAGAATTCATCTGCCAACTTGACCCATTTGTTAATCGTCGTTTGATTGGTGATGTTATACCAGATGAGGGACCCCTCTTCCGTTCTGGGCGAGATGGGTCTGAAGCCTAGACCCGGGTTTACACCTATCAGGCTGTTTTCCATGGTCCAAGTTGGTTGGTTATCGTCCAACGTGGCGAACAGGCCTTGCATGCAGATGGCGAATAGTGCAGCTAGCACCATGTAGAAAATACTGTAGAAGAGGAAGAGTTGACCTGGAACAAAACAAAAGGAGTTATAGTCCAGTCACATTTAACAAAAATAGTGTTACCCCAAGCAAATTTTGTTCGCAATTTATTTCTACGTCTGAAATATGTGAATGTTCAATGCATTGTTTTGTTTCATGTACTTCTGAAGTTTGAACGAAATCGCCAGTTTTGTTTCCAAGATAAAAACTTAATATTTTTCCTTTTCATTCAAAACTGATCATATGAAACTTTTGGGGAGAATAAAACGTAGCGACAACCTTCAGGCAATCTATCATCTCGTTTTTGAAATATTTTAGTCAAGTTGATAAATCCGTGGTATCCGTCTTATTTATGTTTTCCATATAGAAGTAAGAGGTTATGAAACTAAAATGTTATCCAAGAATTACAAGTCAATCTATTTGGTTTCTGAAATATTTACAAGTACATTTTTAAAAGATACATAGAAAACAGACTGTAGTAACTGAAAGGACTGAAGTTTTAATTATGCAATCAAGACGGATCTAAGCACATGTCAAATGACAAAACTCATCAAGCCGTTTGAGCAGCAGTCTGTGAAATAGACATTTCAAAGTTGAAGTTTGCGTTCCAAGTACGCCATTTTGATATTATAAAATTTTAGTTCCGCCCAACGAATTCAGACTAGGTGGAAGAAGCCAGTCAAGGATTTGTTTGTCTCCAATTCTCATAGTCTCTAGTGAGGACCAAAGTGCGCTCATGATAAGACAATTTTTTGACAGTTGCGCGTATTTGTAGTGTTATGTTTTAAAAGTGCGAGTGTTTGCAGATGATTTGAAGATATGGGCTTCTAATCTATTCGAGTTCGTTGGAAATATCAATCATACTTAGACGCGGACTTGATATACCACGTTTTCCCAAATCATCGCTCTAACCACTTGTCATAATATACACAAAGCAAATGTCCTCGATGCACCTGAATGTTCTGACCATAAAATCGTTAATATTTATTGCCTTATAATAGGCGGAGGTCTCGGTAACTGAAGAATTTCTCTCCTATCAAACTGGAAGTTATTTTTTTGCGGGAATTAGTTAAATTTGGCCTTGAGCAATACAAGTATGCCGGTAGATAAGTACACAAAACGTAACCGTAACCATATTTCCGTGCTTGTTAAATAAATTTATCGCATTTTAAACAAACAGTATGACATAGTCGTCGGTTGCTTTGAATAGGGCAAACATATTGTAACTTTTGTTGATAGTGATAAAACCATTATAATTCATTCAAGTTTTATTCGCCATCTTTAATGTACACCAAGTTGAATTTGCCCACTAAAACTATAGATATTGTCCGTTAGTTCTATTTCAAGGTACTTTTATGTTTTAGATTACGAGGATCAATTAAAGGTAAACTCAAAATAGCACGCCCATGCCAATTGCCTTTTTTCGTAGTTTTCATAATCTATTTATATTATTTTTTTATAATTCACATTAATAGCACAAAAGGTAAAATTTGCAACATCTAATAATTCAATTTAACAACTATATGATTACACTCGATAAGTATTAAATAAATAAACATGATAATAGGTTATAAGAGAGTAAAAAGGCAGTACTTTTTTTAACTTTTTAAATCGATTTATTGCTTGCTTAGGAAATGTAGTTAACGGGGCTCTTACAATCACAAGCACCATCTGCTGTGGTAACGGGGGGTGAAAGGAAACGAGGGTGGGCTGGGCCTAGACGGTCGACGGCGCTTATTTAAAAGAGGAAAGGATGACTGCGGGTGCATACCAAGGTGAATTTTTATAATAACAGAGTCGGATTTCGATTAGCGATCTGAAATGTAAATCGTTTCTTATTTTGGTACTCAGCAAGGCTGATAATGGACAATAAAGGGTCATATGCGACCATTTTAAATACGAATGCAGTGAGTTTGATTCATGATGAGGTCAACAATAGTGTCGAGCAGTTCAACTTTATAATCGCAAAATACATTGGGGTAAGCGAACAAATTATTGCAAGAAGAGGTCATACCATGGAAGATGTGCTGCAGCTGTAGTGAGCCAAATTCAATCAAAACCTGACATTAACTACATTGATTTGGAGGTTGCTAAGCGAAAATTTTTAGGGAAACTTAAAAAAGTGACGATGAGATTTTGCAGATCGAATAAGTCACCAAATCACAGGACTTTGTCGCGCCTTCATCGGAGGATAAGGTTGACAGCGTCTCGATTTGGTGAAGTTTGTAGAAGAAGGCAGACAACAAGCTGTAAAGTTCTAGTAAACTCCATCATATACCCAACAGAGTTTTCTAGTAACGCAATAAAAAAGGCAATACAAAAATCATTGGACACGGTAGTTCAGTCTTGTGGTTTGTGCATTGATCGCACACATCCATTTCTGACAGCATCGCCTCCATCTACCTATTACAGTAGACAAGAAATGTACTTAATCCAGGTATAAGCCTACCTGTTTCTTGCTTTGCAAAAACTACCTATCTGTTTCCTCTTATTTTGACGGCATAAGATAATTTTATGACCCTCGTGCAATTGTTACCACATGACCCTTGTAAACATAATTGTGTTTACTGACATGAATAAACGAATTGTAATTTGAGTTCTTGAACTTATTTTAGGAAAGATATAAAATTATTTGAATACATTTTTTCTTAGTCGGAACGCACCGTCGCGTCGCTTGGACTGGCAGGACGAAACAGTAGACGAATTTCGCCCAAAAACCGATTTGCACTTCACAGCTTACGTTTCATTTTTTATTATTTCCAAATGAATCTCTTGCAGCGTGCTAAAAACAAAGTCCATATCAAGAAGTTGAGCACAAATAGTAAGCATTTCAACCTTCCATAATTCTTGCGCAAAGACAAAAATTTTGTAAAACACTCTGATAGCACCTTAGGCAATTATGTCCTGCTTATATCCAAAAAAACATCACAAACTGCAGAACACAAGTTGAAGGTAACGGCGAAATGGGTATATTTCACGAGTCATGAAATTCAAATCAAAATGGTATAAAATCTACCAAATTATCGTTCTCAAAAACTTATTTCCTTGACATATCGATAATTTTAAAGTTCCATGCTAAATTCCCCTATACTTGACTGGAGTGATATCCGAAGTCATTCTTCCCTACTGTCGGTAGTTGCAGATAGATCTGTTGGCTCTTGGTGTCAAACCTATCGAGCAGGTACCGTTTTTTCAAATCGTGAGCATATTATTCGTCGGATTTTCGTTACTTAAATTTTATGTAATCACTGGGATCAGAAGCTTCTTAATAACAGAACGTGTTTCAATGATATCAAAGATGCAACATTTAGAATCACCTTCCCCCAACCCCCACCTTTTAAGCAGTACAATTTTTTTCTGACAATGATAAGGAACCCTTGTAACGTCAAAAACGGAGTTTCAGCAATTGTTACTTTTTCTTTTTTGCCTATAGCACCGTTGCCACTGGACTAAAACTACAAAGCTTTGACATACTAGTAACCCCGTGTGGAAATTTCATAAAAATCCGAGCGGTTATTTCCAAGTTGATGCGTGATACTGTTTTTCGTGATGTAGATGTCATATGACTTAAAAAAACATAACATCTCATTTTAGAAATATTTAGCGATTACAATACTTCCTCGCCAATGACGTGGGAAGTAAAACGGCTTTAAAATCGAGGGTTATCAGCAATCGCGATTATGAGTACCTATTTGCAGAACGACTTATCTACGCGATATTATATGAAATAGGGCCACCAAAGTATCTGAATACGTCCTTTCTTAGTCCGTACATTGCGCCGCAACGCTTCGGTTGGCAGCACGAAACAGTAGACAAAATTCGTCCAAAATACGATTTGTAGAGGTTTGCGCGCTTCGAAATTGACGCTTTATTTTTTGACATTTTTGGATGAAATTTTCATAGAGTGTTGGAAACAAAACCCCACATGGTGCTATAGATCCACTTTTTCTTTTTTTTCACTAGGTTCTTTTTAAAAAATCGCGAAGTTGAACAGAAAAAGTGCAGACTTCAACCCATCATAAAACTTGTGCACAAACAAAATTTCAAAACGTGCTTCTATAGCACCCTGGGCAATTACCTTCTCAACATAATGTATGAGTTTCATTCGAAAATATTGAAAAATGGAGTGTCAGTTTTGAAGCAGCTGAACGCTTGTAAATGACTTGAAACTCACTGCGTCGGAGCCGCTTTCATTTGAAATATTTGACAAAGTAAAACACTAACTACTGAGCAATGATATATTTTGTCATTGGTATCACGAAAAATGTTTTGCCGTCCAAATTTAAAAAATGCAGTAAACTTTACTATTGTTACCTAAGTACGTTAAAGTAAGTATAATTCTTTCTTGTATTCATTATTTACCTAGTGAGGGAACTGTTATTTCTCAATAAGGCACCGTGGTCAATAATGATTTCACGGGTTAGTAGTGAAAAAAATAATAGGTTCTGCTTCTCTCGAGGTGATCTTTACATAGGACTCGCTTTGCTCAAGGCAGACTGTTTATTTTCAAGTTCTTTTTTTGGTTAACTTGATTAGCCTGGAAAGCTACTTTACTACCTACGGCGAAGGACAACCACTTCCAACCTTATAAAAATCTGTTCCTCTATACCGGCGGCGTCCCTGAGCACTGGTGTTAATAACTATACGTGAGACCGGATGCTTTCACATCCAGGCTTAAATACAATTTCCTGTCAAGTCCCACAATTCAATGCCATGCCAGCCGTGCCATACACCCATTAGGAAAATGTTCGAATAGATGCAGCTTAATGGAAACGTGTTTTTTTTTTGTTTTAAAGTATCGTATATACCTTATCTCTAGGTCTGATGTATCTTCAATTACATTGAGTGCTACTTGATGTAGCTTGGTATAACACGAGCTGTGTTTAGATATTTAGAATTTTACAGACCGAAAAATATATCTCTAACCATTTGACATAATATACAGGGATAACCAAATTTGTCTGACGGCTTGTGCACGAGAGAGAAGCGTGTATCAACACATGTTAGAAACAGATAGAAGCCGGCTGA